GTATGCTCAAACAATATAATAAAACAGTGATTTTGTACACATAGATTTTACAGATAATATTACTGAAATCCTTTTCCTTGAATTATTCTATAAGAGAACAGGCTAAAAAAGAATAAAGGAAAAGAACTCAAGGATCCTATATGGATTACTAATTTGGACTAAAGTTTTCTGATTTTGATGCAAGTAGGTATCTCTAAATTATTTTCTAGGTCAAAGTGTTAATGTATAAATAAGAGACAGTTGGGACCAGCAGATAGTGTAATGCTTATGTCGCTGGACTCCAACATGGTGGACCGCAGTTCGAGTCCTTGATCTGGTGACTTGAAACTCAAGCTGGGCGCATGTGCATGTGTGCCAGAGTCCTGAGATGAGGCTGGAGGAGAAGGGACTGTGGCTTGGCCATCCTCTAAGGGAGGGTGAATTCTTGTTTTCTGTCTCTCTCTCTGACTCTCCTGTGAGCTCATGTGCCCAATAGTAAAAATCTTAAAAAAAAAAAAAAAAAAGGCAGTCATAGGGTCATAGGTCAGAGGTACGTTAAGGGGATTCAAATATAAAATAAAGAAAATATTGGTTCCTCGGAAAAGTCATGACTTATTTTTCTATTCAAAAGTGCATCATGACTTTTCCTGCAACTAAATGGAAATAGAAAAATTAAAGACTGAGAGAGGAAATATGTTTATTGAATGTCTGTGATTGCCAAGAAATTTAGGTAAGTCTAAGTATACATAGCTTTTTTGTGTATGTGCAGAGGTTTTTGCTATAGGGTGCGTGTGCTCACCAGAGAGACAGAGACAGGGAAACAGAAAGTGAGAAATCACTCCCTGGGGGGATGGCCACGCCACAATCCCTTCTTCTCCACTTTCCTCTCAGGATCTTGGGCACACATGCACACAGGCCCGGCGTGAGTTTAAGCCACCGGGTCTGGGACTCAAACCGTGGTTGACTACGTGGGAGTTCAGTGACATAGCCATTACACCAACTGCTGGTCCCGAAAAGAGCAGTATGTGTGTCTAACCAAGATGTTTTAAGAAACAAAATCAACACACAGAAGAGGAGAGTATTTTAGAATTAGAATAACACAGGGTACTGGCAGGTGGCATGGTGGTTAAGGTGTTGGATATTCCCTCATAGCTGACTGTGGTTCAAGGCCCAGATCTGGTAGCTTGCTTTCCCACTTATCCTCTCTTCTCTCTCTCTCTCTCTGTCAATGAATGAATGGATGAATGAATGAATGAATAAAATTGAACAGATAATTCTTTAAAAAAAAAGAATTAGAATAACAGTAATTCTATAGTAATATGCAGAAGAATTAATGACATAGAAGTAGAGAAATAGGTTAGTGAATCAGAGTAGACATTGTAAGTTGACCCACAGTCATATGAGAATCTGATATATTGTAGAAACTAGTGGGAATTGTTAAGTTCTTTAGTAAATCATGTTGAGATAACTGATTATCAATATGGAAAAAGCTACAAATTATTTTTAATTAAAAAATTTTAAAAATTGGGACCAGCAGTTGGCATAATGGCTATGTCGCTGGACTCCCATGTAGTCGACCGTGGTTCGCGTCCCATACCCTGTGGCTTAAACTCACGCTGGGCACATGTGCGTGCATGCCCAAGATCCCGAGAGGAGAATGGAGGAGAAAGGATTGTGGTGTGGCAATCCTCCCTGGGGGAGGTGATTTCTTGCTTTCTGTCTTTTTGTGTCTTTCTGGCAAGCGCTCACACCGTATAGTAAAAAACTTCTCCAGAAATTAAAAAAAAAATTTATTAGGTGGCATGTATACTCACTGGAGAGAGACAGAGGAAGAAAAAGTGAGAAGACGCCTCCCATGGTAGATGGTCATGCCATAATTCTTTTTCCTTTATTTTTCCTGTTGGAATTTCAGACATACATGTACACATGCCTAGCATGTTTTTGCTGGGTCTGGAACTCAACCTGCACAGTTGACCATGTGGTATCCAGCCCCCCAGCTCCAGTGGAATCCAGATCCACCACTGGCTGGTCCCCAAATTATTAATTTTTTTCAGATCAGTTGTGTGTTATTATTATATTTAAAATATCATTTAATGGCCTTAGAAATCATCTGACTTGTTACTGTAGCTGGAGAACTCTTAGATCTTGCTCATCAGCCTGCTGATGTATTCCCTTTTCAGAAACATAGAAACCATCCAAGAATTTTCTTATATCTTTATTTTCAACTGTCTTGGCTTGCTATATTAAATCAGCTGAATTTGAAATAAGTTAGTATTGTTGCCTTCAAGATCATCTCATCTATCTGAGCTTGAGATACTGAACAAGCAACACCTGGTTATATTTGAACCCTCTGGACATATTTTTCACCCAAGAAATTTTGGGTTTCAACAAGAGACCCATTCTCCTGAATAACGACGCTGATACATAGACCTCGTCTTGTACCAGAAGCCCAGTATAACACCCTGTTCTGTACGTAATTACAGGTAGTGCACACTGTAGCCATTTCTCTTCTGTTTCCCCACCATTTGTCAACTTGCAACCTCTTTTTCTTTCTGAGGAGACTGTCCTCTACATTGATGTGATTGAAGTCGCTCTGCAGAGTTCCTCTGGGGCTTTTCATAGTAACTGTGTTTTCCTTTAGAATGATGTCGCTGGACGATGGTCTGATTGCTGCGAATGGTCTTTATCATTGCAGTAAAGAACCCCCAAATTATTTTTGAGTGGGCCTTCAAGACCACAGATAGATAACTTTTTAGAATAAGAAAGTTTAAAATGGTTGCTAGAGATTAGATAAAATTAATAAAAGAAAAAAATTGATTGCATTCAAGTATCAGCAGTAATCTGTTAAAAGATATATTTTTAAAATATTACATAGCAAAAACTATAAGGCAGCTAGGAATAAATCTAAGAAAAAGCCTTCCTGGAGAAAATTATAAAGGGGTATTGAAGAAGAGCTCAATGAATGAAGAGATACCATATTCATTGATGAAAAGACACAGTGCTATAAAATGTTACAAATGAATTTGTAGATTGAGTGCAATTTCAATAAAAATTCTAGCAGATTTTTTTTTGTTTCTGTAGAATATATTGAGCTGATCCTAAAAGTCAACTTGTTATATTAATAGTTATAGATGAATAGTTAAGATGAATTCAAAAAAGAATTTAGTCAGGAAGTCTTGTCCTATTATTTATCAGGACATACAGAACTATAGTAAAAATAGTGTTATTGATAGAGGAATGTATAGATAGGCTAGTGGAACATAAAGGAGAGGATAGAAACAAGTCAAACCTATGTATAAATGGATATATTGAGTGATGAAAGTCCTATCAGTGAGGGAAATGAGAGATTAGTCAGTAAACTGTTTGAATGAATTAGCTATTTAGAGATTTGAATCAGAGTCAGCATGTAGCTCTTGCTTCATAGTCCTGCACGCCACCTATTGTGCCAGAGAAACTGGGCCCTTTTCAGAAAGTTTCTGTCCATTCAGCCTACTCGAACTCTAAGTTCAGCGAGACTTGGCTGCCTTCTCCCCTATTCCTCATTCTGGAAAGTCCTCATTTGTCTATACTAGAGAGAACTCAGGTTACCTGCTAACCTAAGTCAGAACAACTGTTTTATGTGCTTTGACTGTTTTTTTTATTTCTTTATGGGAAGAGGGTAAGTTTATATGTTTTCTTCCTTCCTATAAATAGCTACTCTTCCCTATTTAAAAATATTATTCTGCTGTGTGCATATATATATATTTTTCAGGATACTTTTAACTTTTTTTTATTTGATAAAGCAAAATTTACAGAGCCTTGAAACCAGCAGTTGGCATAATGGCTATGTTGCTGGACTTCAATGTAGTCATCTGCAATTCGAGTCCTAGACTCGGTGGCTTAAACTCACACCAGACACATGTGTGTGTGTGCCCAATATCCCAGGAGGAGAAGGGATTGTGGAGTGGCCATCCCCCTGGGAGGTGATTTCTTGCTCTCTGTCTCTCTCTGTCTTTCTGGCAAACGCACACATCCTATAGCAAAAATCTCCCCCCGCAAAAAAAAAAACATTTACAGAGCCTTTTTCCCCCACAGAGAACTTTGACTTTTTGTCTGTTAAGCGTTTCTTCTATTTGCCCCTCCCACCCACACCCCTCCCTTACAGTCGCTGTACACTTATCCTTTTTACTATATCTTTTTTTTTAAAGAATTGTTTATTCAATTTTATTATTATCATTTTAATTTGACCAGAGAGAGACACAGAAAGAAAGGGAAAGTGAGAAAGCAAGTTACTAGGTCTAGGACTCGAACTGTGATCATCCATGTGGGAGTCCATAACCTTTAACCACCACACCACCTGTTAGCCCCTCTACTATTATATTTTAAGATCTCTCAATTTCTAGCCTAGAGTGCAGACATTCAGTACATATTGAGTGGGAATGTACAGTCTATATCTTTCAAAGTCTGTCTCACTTCACTTACTATAAGTTTTCTGTATTGATCCAGTTTGAATGAAATGATAGAGTCTCATTATTTCTTATGCTGAGTAAATAATGGTATACATGTGCCACAGTTTTTCAACCCAGCCATCAGTTTTTTAAAAAAATTATTTTATATAACTTTATTCATTCTTATTATTTTCCAGTTTGATCAGAGAGAGACAGAAAGTGGGGGGTGGGGCGGATGAGAAAGCAAGCCACCTGGTCCAGGACTTGAACCATTATTAGCCACATGGGAGTCCAGCACCTTTAACCACCACATCACCTGCTGGCCCCATTTTTTTGTTGTTGTTCTTTTATATAGTGTACATTTTATTAGTTTGTACTAATACATTCTCATATTACAAAAGCAATTTAGCAGAAGAGTCTTCCTGTTGATATTTGAATCATCTGAATAACACAAACAGAACTATACATTTTTAAAAAATTCTCATGAGGGTAACAAAACAAAACAAAAAGACAACAAACAAAATTTTCTGTTCTTATAGGTGGACATTGAAGTGGACCTAATTCGGTTTTCTTTTTAAAAGACTTCAAAGACAAAAGGCAGCTTAAACCTAATTAAAATGAATAAAAAATTTGTTCACTAAACTACTGGTCTCCACTCCATTTTATGTTTTCTGTTGTTTTGATGCAGGTTCTTTCGTGGCTGTTTCTTCTCTTGCTCTTTTCACTGGTCGAGTTGATGGTTCATATTCATCAAAGTCATCATCACTATCGAATTTGGTTTTCTTGCCCTGAAACTGTACTTTTGCTTTAGCAGACGCAGGCTGAGCAGCTTTATTTCCTTTTCCTTTAAATTTGCGACCTTTTGACTTCCATTTGTTTAGGGATTCTTGCTGATCTTCTATGATTTTTTTCAATGCTGCTTTTTCTACCTCTCCTAGTAATTCCCAAGTGACTGCTTTGTTCCTTAATTGTAGGTTACCATTATTTGCATCTTTGGCTTTTTCTAGGGTTTTCTTGGCTTTTTCTTTAAACAGAATTATGCCCTCTTTTGCTCCTCTGATAAAATCTATCCATTTTATTTCACCATGATTTGAGAAAAGGATGTGCAAATCTTCTCTACAGGTCTGATCATCTAAGTCACCCGAAAATTTCAGCAAGCATCCAATCTTTTCTTCTAGAGATTTCATTTCAGCATCTTCTGCTA